GGGGGGGGAGAGACGCTTACCGCAGCAGGGGCGGCGGCGTCCGTGTGTTTCTCGGACTCCTTCGCCGGTGCGGGTTCCTGTTAACCAAGGGAACGAGAGGGGGATGGGCGTGCGTGTGTGTGTGTGTGTGTGTGTGTGTGTGTGTGTGGGGGGGGGGGGGGGGGNGGGGAGGGAGGGAGGGAGGCAGAGCGTAAGAGAGAGAGGGAGGGAAGACAGACAAGAGGAAAGAGAGACAGAGTCAGAAAGAGAGGGAAAACGCACGTGAGGCTCTTTGCCTGTGGCGGATACCGCTAAGGTCCTTCATTAGTTCGCATGGCGCGGAAGGATTTGACAGGTCTTGTACCGGGCACAAGGCACCAGTTTGAGTTTGGAGATCCGTAACTTGAGCATTTTGTATGTGTCGTAGCGCGACTTTCGCGGCCTCAAACAGCGACCATTAAGTACTGTTGAGTTTATCGCTTAAAACGCAAAAAACGCAAAAAAAACGCAAAAAAACGCACAACTATTCTAGCACACCACTACCCAACAACGCCACAGGAGCTGTTTCGTACGACCTTATCAGCCGCCCTGTTGAAGCCGCGATCAAAGTTGATGCTGTATTGATATGACCTTCACACGTTAATAGTGGTGATGATAGACTTGTTGTCGCATTGGTATGACTACAGTTGGTGCTGTATGATCAGTCTCACCGGCGCCTTGACGACCTCCTGCATCATGTCCGCCGACTGCACCTGGAACATCCCGTGGATGTCGTGCTTCACGTTCACGCGGATCTTGGACATACCGGCGCCTTCCGGCAAGTCCACCTTCCAAAGAAAAAAATGAAAAAAAAACAAAAGTAGGCGTTACGACCACAGGGATCGAGTGGCGGCAGGCAAGACTCATATAGGATCGACCCATTTTCGTGCCCACGTTACTGCTGGGTGTGTGCATAACAAGCATCCCGGCGGACGCATTATTGCACAAGTTTTGCACGTCCCATGCCGAAAACAAAACAAAATAAGAAAAGAAAAAAAACAGGCGTTAAATGGAAAGAAGGAATTTTCCTCGACAACCGACGTTGGGGAGACTACCCTTTCTGAAAGGGATCCATCTGCATCCACAGTTGCTACCATTGGGATGGAGAGGCGGCACGTAAGACGGACCCAGCTTTTTGTGTCCATGGTACAGCTGTTGAATGTGTGCATAACAAACAATCCCGGGTGCGTCCACCTTCCGGAAAAGAAAAGAAGGCATTCGGTGAAAAAGAGGGAATCGTCCCCGACAGCAGACGTTGAGGAGATTGCATGTTGACGGGGATCCATCTCCATATTACCTTCGCCCTTTTTCTGAGGCTTGTTTGCTACGGTACTAGGCAAAAGGTTGTTACTAGGCAAAGAAGCCTTCTAATTAGGGGCGGCACATTAGTCGCACTCTCAGGTTGTGTTACTAGGCAAAGAAGGCTTCTAATTAGGGGTGGAATATCAGTCGTACTCTCAGCTTGTTACTAGGCAAAGAAGGCTTCTAATTAGGGGTGGTATAATAGTCGTTCTCTGAGCATTGGTCGATTGCACAACTATTCGCGTTTCTTCGGGCTGTTACGGTAGTTCAGGACAGGTACTTGAGCGCCGGTTAAGCTGTTGCATGTCCGGCCTGCAGGACGCCCGAGGCGAGAAGGATCGCTTGCAAGGCCCACGCCTGAGGGTCCTTGCCCGCCGCTGCAGCTTGCTTGGCCTGTTCCAAGATGACTGCCTCAAGAGGGGGGGGCTGAGCAGCCATTGTGGAAGAGGTGGAGCAGCTGCAGCGGCAGGCAAGGACCCTCGGGCGTGGGTCCTGCAAGCGATGCATCCGAGAGGGTCCAACGAGCCCGACATGCAGCAACAGCATACGCCGTGGCCACTTTGTCTTATTGATTTAATAGCCCGAAAGCAGAAACGCAAATGATTGCTTTATCGGTCACTGCCCAGGGTACGACTTTCGTACCACCCTTTATCAAGGAAGCCTTCTTGCCCGGCAACCAAGAAGACCAGAAAAAGGAGGTTAATGACGAAATATCCTTCATGAAGGGTACATTCTCCCCAACGTCTGTTCCCACGAGCGAGGTCGACCATCTGGTTTTTTGGTCACCCATGATTTTTTTATTTCTTTTGGAAAAAACATGGCGGGCGGCGCGGGAATTTGAACCCGGGTTCTCTTTCACCAAAAGCAGACATCTCTTTGTCGATGCCAGTGTGGCAAGAGGGAAAATCGTCCTCGACATACGGGGCTGTATGGCCTTACCATTTCCTCCACATCAATTCCTAACGGCGGTTTAGAAGAATAATTGCATTGTAGAACCCATATAGTATTATAGGTGGGTGTATGGGTTCGAAGAATGGCGCCACATATATAACTACAGGCGTTGGGGAGACTGTACCTTCTGCCTTCTATGAAGGGGTTCTCCACATGGTAGCTGCTACGCCAGGGATGAAGAGGTGGCGCTTTCAAGACGTTAGACCAAACTCTTGGTGATAGCGCGTTTGCTGTCGCCATGTCCCTGTAGGTACTCAAAGCCTCTTCCGATTTCGATTAAGTGAACCAACCCCCTCTCTTCACCCTTGCCGTACCGTACGGGACCGTACCGTACCATGAATGTGCCGATCTCCGTTCGGATTTCCACCAAGTACTCCCCCGTTGTATCCGCACCTTACCACATACCGTACCGTACCGATCTCCGTTCGGGTTTCCATCGAGTACTCCCCCTCTCTTTACCCGTACCGTACCTTGAACGTGCCGATCTCCGAGGAGCAGCCGGAAGGGAGCTTCTCGGCCTCAGTGTCGTAGGAAGCCGTGACCGTGAAGGGTTTGTCCCTCACCAAGTTAACGCGACGGACCTGTTTTGTTTTTCATTCCCGCGAAGACACGGGAAGGGCCAAGAGAAACGGATGAGCAATCTAAACTGGATGGTCTTCTCATCCCCGTCAGCAAGCACCACACTTGAAGACAAATGCCGTGACATCGCAACACAGAACAAGCATACGAGTAGTTGCGTGCGCGTGATCCTGTATTGTTGTACTTTTGTATGATTTGCTGTTGGGGGGAAGGACAACTCAATCGTTGTGCAGGAGGTATTTTCAGTTGAACTTTACAAATAATAATTGTGTGGAAGTGTGACCTGGTGCCGTCCCGCCCTAACCATCATCATCCACGACAGGCCCGACAGCCCACCCATTTTTTTTTTATATGTTGCCATAAAAACCCATCTGATGTTAACTTCTGTTGGCTTACGGACCCTCCGGATCCCCTCTTATTTTCGTTCCTTTCTGGGTAAGTTAGTCTGTGACCACAGGAATCCACCCCGTGAAGTGTTGGACTAGTACGGGCCAAGGAAGCTACCCGTTGTTTCTAATGTGAATTAAACAACATAAAACGCAGGCACAAGCACGACGACACTTGTACGAACGTACCCTCGTTGAAACCGATGGGTGCGTGCCTTCAGCCGTGCTGCACGATGAACATCAAATGGCGTGCCTGTAACGATCACTAACAGTCTCTGTGTGGTCTCTTGTGTCTCTTGCCGACTCTCTCTCGCTCTGTGAACTGCTCCCTTCCTCTCGTTGTCTCTCCTCCCTCTCTCTTCTGTACCTGTCTTTCTCTCTGCCCCTATTCCTCTTTCTGTCTCTTCCTCCTCTCTCTGTGTCTCACCTTGGGGGTATCGTCACCCTTGGCGAAGATGTTGACCGAGTTCTTCCCAGCAGCTGCCTCTGCACTAGCACCATCGTCTTCCGCCTCTTCTACGAACGGAGTGGGGGGAAACGAAAACACAACAAAAAAGGCAACGGAAAACAAACCAAATAAGAAAAATCCTTCAATGCCGAAACTGAGGCAGACAACAAACAGGACGGCGATAAACAGTTGAAAAATATCAAATGGGG